AATTCTCTGCTAGTTCATCACAAGAACGGTTTGCACTGTCTTTGTTTGATTGTTTGATCATATTGATGCCTAGATCTTATAAACTGAACAACTATTTCTAAGATAACAATATATAGTCTATTTAGTGCTGATTTCTTTCTGTTTTTTTTTTTAATTCTGCATTATTTCTTTTTTACTGTTTTGCTTTTTCAAAATAAAAAATTTTAAAAAGGATATTATCAAGAAAGTACAAGGATGACCTATAGACTGGGAGAAAAATATTGAAAATAATCTAAGAAGGGACTGGTATCTAAAATGTATAAAGAACTTTTACAATTTAATAAGAAAAAAGGCAAATGACCCAGTTTTTATTCATGTATAAATGATTTGAATAAAAATAACCCAAGAAGTTATATGAATAACTAGTAAGCACATGAAAAGATGCTCAATACCACTAGTCATTAGATACATATAATTCAATACTCTAAAGAGATACTACTTCACCCCCAATAGAATGGCTAGAATTTTCTTAAACAGACAGAAGGGATATTCATACATTGCTGATGCAAATAGCATATAATACAACTACTTTAGAAACATTTTGGAAGATCATCATAATGTTAAATATACAACTACCATATGACCCTGCAACTCATTTCAAGATATTTATACAAGAAAAATAGAAACATATGTCCACTAAATAAATTATACATATAAAAATGTTCATGGTAGCATTATTTCAAATAGCTCAAAAGCAGACATACTGTATATTTCATTCAGCTAAAAAATGCATACACATGATATATCCATACTACAGAATATCAACCATACAAAGGAGTATAGTATCAATACATACTACAGTGCTACAACACAATACCTCTGTTCTACACATAATTATCTAAGTGTTGATCCTCAAAATATCCAATCCTTGAAAACATTTTCAAAATACATTATCCCTGAAAACATTATTCTAGGTGAAAGAAAGCAGGGAAGAAGTCCACATAGTATACGCTTCCACTCATGTGAAATATCCAGACCAGGCAAGTCTACAGAGCAAATAACAGGTTAATAGTTCTTCAGGCTTGAAGGAGTGGATCAGAGGAGATAAATGGAGAACGACTACATGTATGTACAAGGTTTCTTTTTGGATGATGGAAAAAACTAGATTATGGCAATTGTTAAATGATTCTGTATATATTATAAAAACCATCGAATTATACATTTTGAGCACATGAACCATATGATAAACTTTATCTCACTAACATAGAGGGGAGGAGGGGAAGGGAAGAGAGGGGACGAAGGGGATGGGAAGGCAGGGGGAGGGGAAGGAAGAGACAAAACCAGGGCAGGATGCTAGATGCCCTCTACCTTGAAAAATATGATTCGATTTCCAAGTCTGAGAAAACTTGAACAGTATGACAGTGTTTTTAATATGAATTACAAGTCACTCCTCAAATATATATATACTATAAAAATAGGAAATATTTGTAGATTTAAAAACAAGGTAAAATGCAAACAAAATGCAAAGTAAAGGCCAAGAGAAAAATGTAGTAATACATTTATTTCATTGATTCTTGCACATTACAGTAAAATTTTGCACCAAGTTACCTGGTGCCAAGAGAAAAGGCAGTGCAATGATAATGAAAAGGCAGATACAAAGTAATTGTTTATTTTCATGACAATGTGAAAAGGACAATCAGATGAGACATAGTCAGTTTCCACAGATATGTTCTCTCTTCTCTAAGAGCTCACAATTAGAGACAAATACGAACACGTGTGAACAATTAACATCAATAAGATAGTTGCTACAGGAAATGATGTACAAGCTACATAAAGGAATCCATAAAGGAAGGACTTATCATTCAGACTCGGGAGTGTGGGGAAACAAGGAAGGCCTCACTACGGTGCTGATGTTTGAGATGGGCTGGTGAGGAAGTTGGGAGAATATTGCATGCCTCTATCTACCGAGACTGAAACTGCCTGGCCCATTTGCTAAAATTCTTGTAAGATATTCTTGTATGACAAGAATACTGTGTCTGAAAACTGAAGATGGCTCAAGGCAGAGGGAAAACTGGAACCTCCCCATGCGTGGTTTTATACGCCACGCTGAAAACACAGGACTCTGACCTGTGGGCAGTGGGAGCCATTGAATGGCAGTCCCGCAGTAGGGAGAGTCTGGAATATAAAGTTAATGTTCAGAGCTAACCTAAGGAATTTAGGCTTTTGGGCAGGATGTAGTTTCAGTACTATGAAAGCTGAGGTAAGAAGATCACTATGAGTTTGAGGCCAGCCTGAACTGCCTAGTGAGATGCTGTCTAGAAAAAAAGAGAAAGAAAGAAGAAAGAAAGAAGAAAGAAAGAAAGAAAGAAAGAAAGAAAGAAAGAATTGACTTTTTGGCCTTTATATTTAAGACCAAAGGGTAGTAATCCCAGATGTGTTTAGCTACTCATATCAGTGATTTATATAGGAAGACATATAAATCATACCGGAAGACATAGTTAATTTGGGATTATAGGATACATGAGCTCCATTGTAATTATCATAGCTTTCTACTGAGCCCATGACATTCCTACATGATGCTACTTGCAGTTCAGGGGGATTAAGTCACCATCAGAGTAAATCTGTAGTCATGAAATTGTGAAACCCATATAGATTGCAACCGGCCTCAGTGGAAAGAACACATAAATGAAGTTGAAGAAAAGCTTTCAACTCATACATCGATAGAGATAGAGATATTTAGAGAACATACACACACACACACACACACACACACACACACACACAGGCCATACGCTGTGCTGATTACTTTACACATTCTATATTCAAAGCAACCCAGGATGATAGGTATTATATTAATCCCACTCCATTGCCATGGATATCTATTTTCAGTAGTAAGTTTAATCTTTACTACTGGAATCACTGTAAAAACACTTCTTGTATTTCTGTCCACAGAGAAGGATTAGATACTATTCTCCTTAAATGGCATATGGAATATCTCAAGTCCAAAAGATTGGGTGACTCATTCAAGAAGTCAATAACAAACACAGGACAGAAATATTTCCTGATAGTTGGTCCAGTATTGTTTCCATCAAAGCCTTTTCCTCACATAAATAAAAAGTCATAATTTTGCAGGGAGCCATATTTGCTGTATTCCCTTGCCAATCTAACTTTTCACTCTTCCTGGTGGCATTATCTGACCTCTGTTGACATTATTTATTTGACCACTGTTATGGTTTGTGTCTAGATGTCCCTCCAAACCCTCAGGCAGTCATTGAGGTAGGCTTTTCAAAGATAACTGAATCCAGAGTTTGTCACTGATTCATGCTTCAATGCTGGGATTAAGGATGTTAATGTTACACCCTCCCCAGGGCAGGTAGCATATATATAATATGAGGCACAAAAAGAATCTTGTCCCTATTTCTATCCTTTGTTGCTTTTGATCTTTTCCCCTGCGATGAACTATTGCCCCTCTGCCAAGTGCTACTTTGCCTTGGAGCCATCAGATTATAGACTGAAACCTCTACAAACTGTGAGCCAAATAAACCTTTTCTCCCTTAACTTGTGGGTATTGAGTATTTTGCCTCAGCAATGAAAACAGTAACTAAGATAACAACCATACAACAAATGCCAATTTCATTACCCCATTACCATCACTGGGCCAAACATCCTTTCACTTAACTTTGCATAGAATAATGTTATTAGTCCATCAATTAGTCTTTACTGGCACTGTAGTTATCATCACATATTCTTCAACTGCTGCAGGACAAAGAGTACAAGCTGCCTACAACAAAGAGGACAGCAGTTCTTGGCCAAGAGCGACTTTGGCTTTTGCCAACAATGGATCTCCAAGGAGTCTAATGACGAAAGCACATATTCATACTTAAGAATTAATATTCTGTCTGTGGCAGAGAGAATATCCTCTTAACTTCAAAGAAGATCAAGGTCTGACACAGAAAAAACTGAGTTCTCTATCCTGCTATCTCTGTCAAGGAACTACCATCAGGCAGCTGGCAAGGCAACTTTCAGAAACCAGCTTCACCACTGAGCTCTTTCACACATGGCACCAAAACTTCTTTCCATCCCACTCCCTTGGAACTTCTCAATCACCATGGCAGAGCCAGATAACCAACCAGTTATCAGCCACTGTCTAGGACAGCTCTCCAAAATCCATCCACATGTGCTCACTAAATCAGTGCCCTGGGAAAATAGATAGGCATCATAACCATACCTTATCTCTTACCAGACTGAGGAAGGACTTTCCATCTTCTTTCCTTTCCTCCAGGCCCAGTCCCCTCAATTCACCTCAGAACTTCTCCAGGAGCTCATAAATGCAAAACTGCACTTTGAAGTTAGAGTGCCTCTGGCAGCATACTCCCCCTGCAAAGCATCCAAGGGCCTTCCCACTCTGATGCCAACTCAGGTCTCCAAAAATATCTTCAACAGCTTCTGTCCACACTGGATGTGCTCCCTGAATACACTGCACATTTTCATATATAGGCTTTTCCTATTGCTACTTAATTCACCCAGAATGCATCTGCAGATCATTTCATCCATACAACTAACTCTCAGTCTTTCTCTGAAAGCCATCTTGAATGTAACTCACTCCAGTGATGCTTTCCTTCAACTACTCCCATGCCAAACTAACCAGTCCTTCCACTGTCCCCCTAGACACTGCATTCATACAACTCAATAAGTATCAGAGCCAAGACTTGGGCCAAAATCTAAGGCTTTTGCTTAATCCTTAATCTGCTACATCATTTTACCAATGAAATCATGCTTTTATTCTGAATTCCCAGTGGCTGAGGGAACACGGTAAATGAAGAATGAAAGAATAAATGAAAAACTGCAGATATTTTCTACAATTCCCTCACTCCATTCCCAAAACTAGGACTTCTAAAGGAAATAAGATTTCTCCAACTTACAAGGTACAATATGTCCTACAATCAGTCCCATGTAGAGATTTATAGCACTGCATCATGTAATTCTGTAGACCCCCCCCCAGTGATATTCATGATGCCTACCTTGCCAGGGAGAAGGTAAAAAAGAAATAGCAGTATGTAATATCCCAAAAGAGGTCAGGCCCAAAGAAGCAGCTCCCTTTCAACTCCACAACTCACCTCTTAATCAGGACTCTGAGCATTTGAGCCCTCCTGAAGCCAAAGCCAAAAGCTTCACATGTTTGGAAGAAAGAAGCCAGAGTGTCCCTAGTAGTGTAAATATAGAAACAGATAGGACAAGCAGGTCCTAAGGACAGATGCCAAACCCATGAGCGTCAAAGAGCTTTGAGTTCTGAATTTACTCTCTGTCAAAGAAAAAATAAAAGAAGATAAAAGGGAAAAAAATAAACTTCTTGATTTTGTCCTTTCACAAAGAAACTTTTCAAGAAGAAGCAAGTAAAATCCCCCCAACTCACTGGGTGCTGAGCAGAATGCAGAGACATCAGCCTTGGAAGGAAGAATGAATAAGCAATTCAAAACAGGCTTTCCTGCCACAGGCTCAGCATCTCTTTTGCCAGCAATATTCTGTCTGCCAACCTACCTGCAAAGAAAGGGCCCATTTAAATCTCACATCCACCCAGGATGGCTGTTGTACAAAATGCACACTCACGGGCTCCTCTCAAAAACTGGTGGGGAAAAAGGTAGGAAGAAAAAGCAAAGGAAATATTCTGGCAGCTTCTAGACTTTAGGAATTCCACAAGCAAAAACGCTGCCAACACCTGCTTGACAGGGAGTATACAGAGTTAATAACGCAAGTGCTGACGGAGAATTCAAACTTTCTTAAATGTTCTTATGATCTTTAAAAACAAATACAATTTGAACTTCAGGATAATCATGGCCTGTTGAAGATGTGCTATTGCAAAGGCTTTGGCTAGTCTGTTTTAGTCAGATTGCAAGGAAAACGATTCAATACAAGACACATAATTTACAGAATTATTTTACAATAGTCACCCAAAGAGTCAAACATGAAAAGTGCAGGAGATCTTTCCACATACTAATGACTCCAGAGAATCCAACTGAGGGCCTGGATCCTATGGCAATAGCCTGCATGTGTCCAGCTGAAGATCAGGACAATGTCTTGTGCAAGTCTGATTCACAGATGTGTGCTGGAAGGGCTCAAAGGTCAGCAGTAGAAGCTAGAAAGTCTATGCCAACAGGATGAAGGATCTGCGCCAGTAGGTGAGAGTTCTGTACTGCAGCTAGAAAGCAACACAAAGTAAAGACCAAAGCTCCCCCTAAAAAGTAACACAGCCATCCTCAGCAACAACAAAGTCTTGAGCTCCTCTGACAATAAGAACAGCCAAGTTCATATCAGGAATCCAGCATGACAAGCTTCTCTAGGAGAATGAACAACACACCATCTTCCTCTCTCGAACTAGGAAGTGATGCCCAAAGTAAGGACCAGAGCTCCCCCAAAGTGAACCACTGCAGCCCTTCTCAATGAGCTTCTCTGCTGATGAGAATGGCCAAGTTCCTAATAGGAAAGAAGCTCAATAAGATCCTCCAGGAGAACCAGTGGCAACAAAAGAGACAACAATGCCACTTCTTCTCCAGTTCTCCTTTTTTTGTCATTGGTAAAAATCTTCATATAATGTGGTGGGCCCTTGACGTCTAGCACCACGCTGATTCAGTTCAGCTGGAGTGACAAGGTGACTACCGATTGTCAATTGCTACATTAATATTTGCACAGAGCCACTCCTAATAGTGAACGAACCACTCCTAAGGACTGTGAGTTAGAAGCCTGGTCTATACAAGACTGTTGTTCCATAACAGAAAAAGAATACCAGCCAACAAGGAAAACACAGGCAGAACTGATTCCTGTCCCCACTTTGACTATAAATTACCTAGAACTGAGTTTCTTCAGGGCCTACCTAACACCAAGCAAATGCAAATATTTAATGTTTTCTCTTGAGTTTGTTTCTTTTTGTTGCTCAAGAAAAAAAGAGCACAGGTGCTTGACTTGCTCTTTTCCATGTACAACACGCATCACTCAGGTGCTAATATCATGCTTTTCTCCCGTAACAAGAAAAAGTAGCACACAGAGAGAGAACAAATGGATCATCAACACAGCTAAAAGGAAAACTGTGTCCTCTGCTCTAGTATCATCATGTGTCCAGCGAAGACATTTTTATATTGTAATCATTAAATTTATTGGTACATTTTAGAGATACATAATGATCACATTCATCATACAGAACTTATTCCCATACATGATACACCCTGACCCATTTTCCCCATCCCCCGCCCTTCTACCCTCTTCTCCTCCTTATTTACAAAAGCTTTGTTTCTATTGTATCTTGCTCTTCTTTTGTTTTTCTTTTCCTGTCCTTCCTTTCACTATCCGCTCCCCCTTGAACCCCTTTTCATTTGAATGTTTTCCTGTTTCACAATATTTATTTTATTTTTGATCCTTGTTTACACTTTCAGTATCTCACACCAAAGAAAATACAATATTATACATGTGTGTTTGATTTACTTCACTTAAAAATATGGTCTGTAGGGGCTGGGGATTTAGATCAGCGGCATAAGCGCCTGCCTTGCAAGCAGGCAATCGCTAGTTTGATCCCTGGTACCTTTAAAAATGAAAAAGACCAAATATATATATATATATATATATATATGGTCTCTAGATGTATTCATTTGCCTACAGATGTCTCAAGTTTATCCTTCTTTATAGCACAGTAGTACTCTTGTATTAAAAGACATGTCTTCTTTATCCACTCATTGGTTGATGGGCACTTCAGCTGTTTTCAAGATTAAGCTATTATGAACCATTGTAAAGATGTCTGTGCATATCACTGTGATATGGTGCTTTTAATTCTTTGGGAAGATACCAAGAAGGGGGATAGCTAGATCTAATGGAACCTCTAATTTTATTTTTTGAGGTCTCACCACACTGATTTCCACAATGGTTGCACCAGTCTATTCTTCCACTAAGAGTGGAGAAGGGTTCCTTTTTCCATACATCCACATCAGCATTGTTACTAGGCTGCAGTGTTCTCTCTTTGGTGGAAGCAAAAGAGCCAAGGGGCCTTATATCTCCAATCTGCTCTGTGCAGCTTGAGTTAACCATACTGTTTCAGTCCATAAGTTTTTTGGAAGCTTCCACAGTGGCATTCCTGCTCCATATGCAGGTGGGAGACCCCGAGGCAGAGCTGTGGGCAGGATAATCTCTTGATAAAGCCCTATGCCTATATTTTGCTTGATCTCCAAGTCTCTTATTTCAGACTGATTTTGGTATCAGGATATATGTCCCTCACTTTCTTCCAATTACCTGTTTTTTTAGTTGATTTTTTTGGAGTAGCTCCAACTTGAATCCTTCTCTGTTCAGCCTGTTGACATTCTCCTTTTTAGCTTTGTGGTTGACATGGATTAAATACAATGCAGGCAGAAGTCATATTCTTTTCCAAAGCAGCGCTTGCGTGCTCCCATGGTAAGCCAGACATAGTATTTTATGTGCTGCAGATATAGAGATGAATAAGAAATATTCCTTAAGGGTCTCATAAAGTGAATTACATCCAGATTGGTCAGCTACTGCCTTACTTTGGCCCCAGAGTAGGGATCTCAGCCTTCAGATCATCTTTGTATTCTCCCATAACTTGATCTGTCACCACAGAGTTAATATGTATTAAATCTATAAACCCGACCTCTCACTTCTCTCAGTATATATAAATCAGGACACCTATAGATGGACCACTACTCCAAGCATGAACTGGGCCCAGTACTTCTCTTCCCCAGACTGCCACCATTCAGACTTCCCCAGGCCTCCTTCCCTTCAATTTTAGCCCCATTCTTTCAGTTCCCCAGACATTTTTTCCTGCTTCTCCTTCAGGCTTTCACTTCTATTCTGCCACTAACTAGTCTCAAGTAATTGTCTTTTTGAACAGCTTTTAACTTTCCAACTTTTAATTGAATGTTAACATTCAGTTAAAAGTTGCCACACTAATTCACAAAAAAGGTAACTGACCACTCCGCCCCTTGTGATTCACTTTTGAACAACCTTGCAAGATACACTTTCAAGAGGCATCCATCATCATTTTCATACTAGTGAAACACAGTGGCTCTCTTCTGTCATTCTTATCCAAAACACATTCTTTCCAAATCCTCTGTGCTCTGACCTTCCTCTGGCTTTGTACTGCTGTTTCCATCTATTCTTTATTCCCCCACATCTATCCCAGTCACTATCCTTATTCAAATTCTCTTACTCAAATTCCCCTGCACCTCACTTCTCCAACCTCACCGGTGAACATGATTCATTAAATTAAATTTCATGAAATACTGTGTAATAAACCCTAAACTGGATATTGCAGAACACGAACATGTCCATCTAATTTTTTGCCCTCTCATATCTTACTAGCTAGTGTCTCAACATGAACCCTGCTCCTGAGAAAAAAAGTTGAGCCCTTTATCGCACCATCCTTTTAAGAATCTAAGAAAAAGCTGTTATAAAGACACTTAAAAAAGACAAACATGCAAGTTTAATTAACTTTTTCTAATCTAGTTGGAAATGAATTTCCAAAATAGATTAAACTATAGAATAGAATATAAAAATTATTTGTATTATCTGTATTTGCCTACTCAAGAAACCATACAAAACAAATCTCCCCGCAAAGATTCACCCACCACAGGATGTTCCTTTTTTAAAACAGTAACTTTGTCCATTAGTATTAAGGGTCCAGCACTTACTCTTCACTTTCTGTGATGATTTTGCTCTCCAAACTCGCACTAAATGGAGACACAGTTTTGCTTTTATTTCTTTTATAGTCTTAATAATAATAACCAGCAATTAAGCTTCATTAATATTATACCAGAGTGGATTCAACAACCTGTAGATTCAAATGATCACAGTAAAACTCTCTGAATAAACTTAAGGTTACAGTAATCCAGGAATTCATGATATCAGGCTTAAACGTCAATATCCATCAACATTTGCATACAGAAAAAAATATGACTGGAGACTTCCTGTCCATGGCCAAAAGGAGGACAAGAAACAAGAAAAGGAAGAACAAAGGATAATTAACTTGTAAGCTTGATCCTGTACAGTCATTTGCTCCTATTACTAAGTGACATTTTTATCACATAGAACTCAAATGAACTTGTCACCTACTATCACATGGACCTTTGGAGCC